GCTTAATCATACACAACTCATGAAAATCAATAACATCAACGATCCAGCTAAACAGTACTGTCCGAGGTTTTCTCCAATCTTTATTTTTTTATTTTTTACAAATACTTTTGTTTAACCGTCTATTAGTCCAATTTCAAAGCTTACTGTGTCTAGTGATATATATTCGAGGCAGTCTCTCACATAAAATAAATATGAGTTCAATTCTCACCGTCTCCCTTCTGTTCATATTCCCTCATCCCTAATGTAATAGAAAAATGTACACAGGTAATTATGACCGTAAATTTTGTAATAATTTTTATATCCTTTTCTTAGAAGCTGGTAAATTCCAGAAATGTAGGTCATGAAACACAGATTTGAATTGTCCCAATCCAGTCAGTAACAGACGATGCTGGTCCACCCAATTTCTTGTTTTCGTAAGTAAACAGTTTCTTGTGGATAAATATATATATATATATATATATATATATGTATAATTGCTTGAGATAACGACAAAAAATGTACTCGCAACAAGTGGATTAGTATTTATAATTTGAAAAAATCTACACCCTATAGTACTTCGCATACATAAATAATATTATATAGATATATGTAGCGAGAGAAAAAGGCGACGATATAAAAACTTTTATTTTGCTGAAAAGATGGCACAAAATAGGGGTCAAGTAATTGCTCTTCTTTCTTCTCAGCTCTTGCTTGACACAGAGATGGCACCCAAATTAAATTCTTAAAGGAGTTCAAATTTTGGGAAATAGAATTTGGTTATTATATTGGTATCGTGAATACAAATAAATGGGTCAATGTGTTTCTACGTCTGCATGTCACCATAACAGAAGTGTAATTTCATCATCAAGGCATGCAAAAGATCATCATCATAACGTTGTTGCTGTATCATTTAAGAGCAGAAAAACAGCCACAGCTACAAGGATTATTGATAGAAAGAAGAAATCTGAGGCAGCTTCAGGTTGTTATGCTATGATTAAAGAGCAACGTTCGAGATTATACATCATTAGAAAATGTGTCATTATGCTCATTTTCTGGCACAGATATCGCAAGAGTATTTGATATATGCTCTCTCCTTTCTTTCTTCTCTTTGTATATATATATATATGTCATTTCTTCTTTTTTCTAATTGGTTTTACCATCCGGTTTCAGAAACCGGCCCGTTGGCCCGACAAATTCAAATTAATTCGTGTCGTGTAAGGTTCATTTAAGGAAAAACACTTGCTAATATAGGAGAGTTTCTCGTCCGTTCGAACGGAAGACTTTTGGTTAAAGGTAGAGAACTTACCCATCTCATCATAATGGTGGAATTCTGCATGAACAGAAAGGCCATTCTTCTTGCTATTGTTCAACCTTTGGTTGAATAATTTTTGTCTATCCATAACATTTCTGAATTGTAATGTAGTGCTGTTTTTAGTTTTTTATTACTGTATTTATTTTGCTTAACTTTTTTGGGGATCCAAAAGAGACTGGATTTTGTTTACTTTCCGCCTTGATCATTTGCATAATAAAATAGATTACTTTTCTTTTTATATTGGCACATTTAGTATCTGAAATTCCTTTTTAATATAGCTAAAAAGCCGACGTAGTAAAGAATCAAATTAGTAGGAACTTAGTTCTTCCAGAAACCCAGTGACCCGGCCCGTTCGTTCACGGTTCATCCACACGCCAAATAGAAAATATGAATCACGTTTCTTTAAGAATATTTTACCTTTTTAGAGATTTTTGATTTATCAGAAGTAGACCTAGCTATTTGGAAAAATTAACGAGCTAATTCTGTGTGCGCATGCGGCATACGTATGGGCAGGGGCTGATCGATCTATTTTTTACCTCTATATATTAAGTTTTGAACTCTTTTAATATAGCCCAAAAGTGTAGCTTAGTGGTCAAGGGGGTTCAAACCCTTCTTTAAGGCCATAAGATCAATTACCATTAGCTACAATTTTTTTAACTTTTTTTTGAACCCCCTTCGTGGTAATCCTGCCTCCGCCATTGCGTATCTGTAGGTAAATTTGCTTTAATTAGGATTCTGCGATTAATATAGCCATTTTCTTTGTATTTTTCGCATTCTTCATACAGAAATTATGGTAGTAATATAGCAGTTATGAATCAATAATTTCTTCTTGTTATTGGTTTCATGGATAAACTTGCTAACTGATGCAAAAAATTAAGATAAAGTTAGATGTACAAGTCAAACACTATACATGCAATTGGTACGTACATAAATGGATTAGAATAATCGCCAAACTTTAGGCACAGGAGATTTTCAATCTTCGATGTCAACAAATATTTAAATTATTTTTATGTGAGGGGTTGATCCTTTTATATATATAGTATCTACCGATTTACGATTTTTTATTCTTTTTTGGTCAATGATAAAAATGTTTTACTTTCAAAATAGTAAAAGTGACAGATAAAACTGGATAGAGGAGTATTCAACAGTTTTACAAAATTAACATGAATATACCGTTAATTATAAAGTACTACTAATATAATGAATTCTCTAAAAGCAAACTAGTATATTCTAGCGCAGGAAAAAAGAAAAAACTGGAAGCTCTAGCAAATTGACGCCACTTGAAAAGAATATAGCCGAAGTTATTAAAGGCACGTAATAATTGTACGGACAACCAGCAGGAAACAATATTATTGTCCAAATTTCGGATTTTTGGATGAATCAATTGAGGTATCCAGCTACATGTGACGCTGCAGAATGATAGAGAATCCTTTACAGCCTAAAATTTCGATTATTTCAATGTATATGATACCAAAATCACCAGAAATTTGGTAATAATATATGAAGAATTCAGGAGTGAAATGCAGCTTATTGAGCGTTTCCCATTTAAAGGTCAGGAACTGAATTTAATGAACCAACAAGAAAATACCACTATGAGTGAATACAATGAACTGGTACATGTAGTTAGTGATTGAAATAATACAGTACTTGGTGAAAGTTTGAGAGGAAAAGGGCTATATTAATAAGTAGTATATAGTAGTAGTTAAAGATGGGTATCTGAATTTGTTTATCTATTTAAACGTTTAGAATTATTAATTAAATTTTGATTTTAAAAGCTGACTAGTTACTTGTCTCCTCAAAAATAGATGTATATGACAAAAGCGGAGAAAAAAAACCCACAACGTATTCTTGTGGAAATTTAAGTTTCAATAAACTTCGTTAGGCTTTTGTAAATACTTAATGAATTCCGCCATCCACTCAACAATAAGAGTCTGTATGGAAAGTCACCTTGGAATTAGATTTGGGTGTAATTGGGTGTAATTACACAGTTTGGCATGTTTGTTTGGCCAAGTAATTACTTGGTCAACATGGAATTGGGGGTAATTGGAGGGGCGTAATTACACTCTACAATTCTCAAGGGGAAGGTGAGAATTGGTGGTAATTACACTGTGTAATTACAAGGTTGCTTTTTAGTTTCTTTCCTTTTTGTTTTTATTTTAATTTATTTTCTTTATAACTTTTTTATTTTTATTATTTTAATTTTTTTATTTTATTTTTACTTTTTAATTTCTTTTGAATTTTAAAATATATTTTCTTTGTACATTATTTATCTTTTATTTCTCTATCTTTACTTCTTGTGATTCCATGTAATTGCTTATATTTTATTTTTTATTTATTTTATTATTCTATTTTTTGAAGCTACACCTCCTAATATTAGAAATAATGAGTCATTAATAAACATGGCATATAATGAGTGATGCAATTAAAGTGGAACTTCGTTGTTAAATGTGGTTATAAACTTATCATGTTTCCTATCTTAAGTTGCAGTGGGACTTACTATTATTATGTTGGAATTTGACATAAGTTAAACTATTTTATTTTTTTGAATTTTTGAAATTGTGTTACATCGTTCCAATTTACTTGTTTTGTAGTATTGACTCACATTGCATGTTGTTCATTTTCTAGTTAGAATTGGTAGATTAGTTTTGTCAAACATTTTGAATAATATTATGACACTATATTTATAGATATTAATTTATTTTATCAAACATGAATTCCATGATGTTCTTACAAAACGTATATTTTATTTAGTTTTTGTAAGTATCTAAACTAAATATTATTAATTACACAATGACACACAAACAGGCTATCGTAATTACACAATTGTGTAATTACTAGGCTGTGTAATTACTACCCTAGTAATTACACCAATTCCAATTACAAGGTGGCTTTCCAAACAGACTCTAACTAAATGGGCGTATACAATTAATACACTACCAAAACCATCTGTTTTCTATTCCTGCAATTTATTGCCAACGTGAACTTACTTATACACAATGAAGCTCGATAACTGATGCTAACTTTAGCTACTAAAACGAAAGTAATTTAGCGACTTCTTGTTCGATGCTTCTGATAGACAGAACAAGCCTATCACTATGTATCTTCCTTGCACAGAAAAACACTTGGTGTTTATATCTAACCTAATAAATACATAGTAGTATGTCTTTACACACACCATTATCACCGTCCATAGTTAACTAATACTCTCACAAACATCAATTTATCACTTAATCATGATAAATTAATATAAATTACTTAATCATGATAGATTTATATAATTTAATTTGAACACGCAAAAAATGAAAATTAAAATTTTAGAGTAGGAATTTTATTTTGTTTCTCTGCGACTGCATTAGCTTGAGATTTCTTGAGCTCACACTGGACTTCTATGGTTGGGGGAAGATCAAGTTGACCAGAAATGTACAGCAGAAAAACATCTGAGTTTTGTTTACTCAATGGGCATTCCGTTGAGAGACTGGAGTTGGTAAAGGCGCAGTTAGGGTGAACAAGCAGTGAAGCTAGGTTATATCTCACTCACAATGAGAAGGCCTAGTGGTCGAAGGGCAGGACTAAAAACCTTAGGAACCAAGGTTCAGATTCCACCAAAGACGACAATAACTAAATTCTTGCCATCTGTTTAAGTCTCACGGAAGAGTTAGCAATACCTGTGTTGGTAGAAGATAGCAGACAAAATCACTCAAAGACGCATGCAAAAGAATATTCAACCGATCATTTCATGGAGGCATTAATAATGCTTCTAATAATCTGGAGGCTGTAAACATGAATGAATCAATGCACACCATATACTTAAGCATAGCCACCTCCGACCATAGAGTTCAGCATAATCCAGCTCTCTCACCATACAGTTCAGCACAGCCAGCCCCCTTCTTTTAACTAATAGAGCAATCTAGGAGTGGTCCAGCCATCAGAAAGGCAAAGGGAAGACTCCATCTGTTCGCCATGGTAATACATCACCACAAGGCTTTTCAGTCGTACCAACTTTGCAACATCTGTTACACGAGATGATTTGGGCCAATCAAATTTTCGTCTTTACTGTACATGCTACTCTCACAGAGTTGATAACTTGATATACTCTTTAGCAAGAATCAAACTATACATTTTTACCTAGAGGATGCATCGTTGCTGTTAGCTAGGCCAATAGGGCATTTACTTTTCAACGACAAAGATTTTTTACAACAAGGGAACCTATACACAACAATAATTTTCGAACTTCCCTGTAGATTATTGATTCCTTGAAACTTTTGTTAGCATGACGTTGAAAAGTTGAAATACAGCAAGCTTCCATCCTTTATCGTTGTAATCCAGTAAGGAATATTTACATTTTATTTCTGAACAGGACAAGGAGAAAAAGTTACAATGAATAGCTGCGAATAATGAAAAATGTTCCTTTGTAGAATGATGCAAATTTTCAGGAGACAGATGAATACTAAAGCCATAATCCAAATAATATATAAATTTGCACATTTCATGACTATTAAAGAAATCTAAGAGCTCTTTCCTCAGCAGTAGGCAGATATACCTGGAGAAGATTTAGAGCTCGTGCGTTGACTCACGAAGCCTCATCAGTTTGTCCTTCCACATAGCTGCAGGAAGCAGAAAACAATTTTTGGTGATATATCAACAAATTAAGTATAGGAAAACTATAGCAGTTATTTCCAATAAATAATCACACATTTAGTTTGATATACCTGCATCATTGTACCGCTCCTCATTCACTGCTAAGTTCATACTTCTCACCATACTAAGTTCTTCAGAAAGTAAATCAGGGCCATCTGATGCACTGCGTCAGACAGACTCAAGCTTAAATATTGAAAAGGTCCAAAGATATGCAAATAGGAGAGAAAAGCGACCAACCTATCTAATAATACATCATACGTGGACTTAACTCTGCTAGATCGCTCCATTCCATGAACTATTCTTTTTGCATCAGCCAAGACAATGTGCTTATTCACAAATATTGGTGCCTGCATAAACCAGAAGAAACTCAATTAAGACAGATGATGGTTTTTCAAAATATAGTTAAGGTCATTACAGCTCGCTAAAACTGAAAAGAAGTTGATCATTCACATAAAACTTTACCAAATTTGTTATTGTTAACTCAAAAACTACAATTCAGATCCATGTTAATTGTTTTATTAGACGTAAAGAAGTTGAAAGCCGATAAAGCTATTCTTGATTTCATCTTAAAATACTACGAAACAGTAAGGAGACATATTTTTTTCTACAACCGTGAGCATTTTTTATGAAGCAGTGTATTGGTAACTAAAGGAATCATGAGAGAGGGCACCAGAGAGGCATGAAAACTTAACAGATAAGGCAAGAAAATTCACATGAGAGAGCAACTTTGGTATTTTATATAAGTTGGAGCAAAACAGGAGGAAAGCTAATTTTACATCAATCCCATACTTTATTCAACAGATATACCATGATTGACATCGATTTTTCAATGGATGTTAGCAAACACTTAACAATATACATTATCACACTGGAATCTCAAAGTTTTCATAAGAACAATACCTTGCATCTTCTGGCAACATTAATGGCATCTGAAGGACGAGCATCCACACTTATAATATCTTTTTCCCCTGGCTATGTATTATCAAAAAAGTTAAGTTCAGATTAAATCTTCTCTAGAAGTAGGAGTGTTTTGGATTTACCTAAAAAGCACTTTCACATACCTTGTGGAAAAATATTCTGGCAAAATAAGTGTTAGTCACTCTTTCTGTAATCTTCACCATTTTAACCTGAAAATGATATATCACCAAACTAAGAAAGAAAGACCAGCACTTCAAACAATAAAAAAAATGCATTGATCATTGCCCAATTTTAAAGTGATCAGCTATTAAATGAAGTGTTAAATCTTGCAAAACACCTAGAAGGAACCGAGCCTCCTGCTAACTTGGCACGTTACAAGTTAGAGCAATCAGTAAGAACTTTACATGATAATTAGTAAATGCATATTAATACCATGAACTGGTAGCTAAAAGATAACGCAGAAACAGTTAACGGTCGCATCATGAAAGCTTTCATCTGGATGCATAAATTAACAAATATTACTAACATTTAGAATGACATGTAACCGAGAACCAAAAGTTTCTGGTGATTCAAGTTCAGGGAATGTGATAGCAAATTAGGTAAAAGTGAAGACTAAAATCAAGTTGGAGATATTATGTATTAAAACAGAATCAAGATTGAGAAGGGATGCATATGATGAGATACATAAATATGGTATTAACATACTTCATAGCCAAGTTTCAGCAATAGATTCCTCACAAGCTGGAATTGGTCCGGCCAATCCTGCAGCAGGCCCAACATCAGCATCTCAAAGAAAAGTTAAAAGAAAGAAAAGGAGAAGTAAATCAGAGAATCCACAGTCAAAAATCTTAAAAACATTACCCCCGTCTCCTCCTCATGCAATGAATCTATAAGTTTTTCGACAGCATATTCTCCTGAAGTAGCAGGAGTTAATCCATAACAGTACGACAGAACTGCTTACAGAAGGAGAAATCTAAAAACACGTACCAACAATAATTGGCAAGACATATTCGCCATCACAAGAAATCTTAAGAAAAATAGTTGGATTCTGGAAACGGCGAAGAAATCCTGTCCCTAAAGATGACGCATCAGCAATAGGATCCTTGGTGTGAAAAGAAAATGGAACCAAGTGAGCTGATGAGTGCCATCTTGGTTCTTGAAATCCACGCATACGCATTTGGTAGTGCCTCATAGTCTCTACAGTCATTGTAGCATTGGTAAAACATGCTTAGACTCACGTGCAGGGAAGAAAATAATAAGTAATATTAGAAGACAGATTACAGATGAAATGTATTAAGCAATTAGTTTCTCAAAGTACATAGATTAAAATAAGTTGGTCAAGATGGATAAGTGCCAGGGAACGCTATGCAATAAAAAGGGACCTAACAAAGTGAAATATAAGTTCTATTAAACAGTTGTTAGACCAGAAATATTATATTGAGAGTGAATGTTGAGCCCCTATGGTCCATCATATCCACCAAATGAATATTGATATGGATATTAAGATGGATGAATATTGAAATACAGATAGTAAGATGGATGAATATCGAAATATGGATATTACAATAGCTGTGCTGTCATACAATATTGGACAAGATTAGAAATGATCACATCTAACCAAAGGTTGCAAGTAGCACACATAGAGAATAAAGAAAGAGTCGGAGATAGTTCGGTCTGGTCATGTCCTGGATAGACTTTCGAAAGGTGATAGAAAAGGACTAGGAAGAACTAAATCACATCGAGAGAAGTTATCTAAAATACCGAAATTCTCTCCAAACTATTGCACAACTTAGAAAAGAAACATAATGGCAGCAGAGAAATCCATATACACTATACCAACTAGTCGGGATTGAACTAGTTATTTGTACAGGGTATATAGGCGATTTAGAAAAACATTAATATTAAGCATTAAAATGAAAAAGACCTGACTAAACCAAAATGGAAACATAGGAATCATACAGCCGACCCAACTGATTCAGGATTGGAGATGTAATTAATTGATTGATCGATTTAGTTTCTCAAATTACCATCAAAGTGCACGGTTTCCCATCTCAAGTCATCTTTTCTAACAAATTTAAGTGTTTATAGGTCTCTTTAATTCTGTAACAGCGGGTTTTTACTAATCAGTACAAGGACCGTCAAATGTTACTGGGCGAGCAACTTTTTTTTACCAATTGTCACCAACTAAAATAACGAAGGTGAGCTAAAATGCAGCTCAATTTCAGAGAATATGACTTGATTTTTTTAACAATAGCTGCATTTGTTAACAAGCAATATTGTAGAGGAGAAAAATCGGATCTTTTCGATATAAGTAGTAAAATTTCAGAGAAAATCGGATTATGAGAAATACAACATAATATCAAACTAAAGACCGGACGCAGGGGCAGAAAGGTAAATACAAAAGGTGAAGATTGAAGACCTGAGACGAGGACAACGGCTTCAATATAATCATCATCGTGTTCATCACTCTGATTAGATTTCCGATTGAAGCTTCCACGTGACGATTTGCTGCAGATCACCGTTAATCTTGATTTTCTACAATGCTTATTTTTAGAAGAGAGATGGAATGAGATGTTTCGAATCGAGTAGTAACAGTGACAGCTGGCACTCCACCGGCTGGTTTCCGGTTGATCCGTCAAAAGTCCGGCGACCGTATGGATCCTCAACTGAGCTCCGACCATCGGGACACGATAATTTCAATGGGTTTACCGGTGGGGGGGGGGGGGGTC